TGCTTTCATTTTATTATTCTCAGTATATGTACTACAAACCCTAATACGCCTCTACAGTGGAAGTTCTTTGTCGAGCTCTGCTGAGGCGTGGCTATTCTTGAATCATTAAGCTATATTTTGATTTTGTCTTGTGTTCATAGTATTTATTTTCTTGTCTCATTGTCTAACCTGTTGAAGATCTAATCGATCTAAGAGTTTTTCAACTCATCAATTGGTATCAGAGTAGGAGACTGTGTAATTCATACATATCTCTTCTGTTAAAGAAGATCTTAGGGTTTTTCCACTTTAATCAATATTGTTAGAGCCGTCATTAACTATTGACGTAGTTCTTTAATCATTGATCTTACCCTAACATTATTTACAAGTCTGATCTTAAACAGGTTATTGAACAAACATCATCATGTCCATGGAAGACTCTGAGACAAACCCAATCAATATCTCCAACAGTATAGGATCAACGACAAGGATTCCTATATTATACACTCAAGACTATGAGGTTTGGACGCATCACTTTGAAGACTACGTGATTGGTTCAGAAGACAATGGATACTTGATCTGGGAGGGGATTACTATTGGTCCATTCGCTCACTCAAGTACTTCATGAATTTTTAAAACCCAAAAGAAGTATAATCATTTCATCAATGATGTAAAAGATGTACCCCATGATGAGAAGGAAAAATTCCAGTGCAACATCAAAGCCCTAAGGATGATAAGGTTTGCCTTACAGTCGGACACAGTTCGATTGGTAAGCTCTTGAACAACGGTGGAAGAAATATAGGACAAGCTGAAGTAATTGTATTCTATAGATGAAGATCTTGAGCATTCAATCCAAACTTTGTTTCTCTCAAAATTTGGTGACTTCAAGCAGAAGCCTGAAGAAAAGCTTATTCAAGCCTTCGATTGCTTTAATAATCTTCTTAGTAAGATGATAAAGTATGGGATTGAAAGGAAAGTCATTGAACAGAAGGTCACATTCATGAATGGCCTTAGACCCGAGTAGAGGGTTGTTGTGTCTACTGCACACGAACAATTCAAGGCTTATTCTATGGGAAAACTGGTGGGAATACTAAAGTCACATGAGAGTGCAGTGACCAAAGAAACGAATGTGGTTTCTGGGATGGGGTCCTTAGCTCTAATCTCCAAGGGAAAGAATTTTGTTGAAGAAGAATAAGAAGAGTTAGATCTTTCTGAATATGATCTAACAGGTGAAGATTATGCTTTGATGGTGTCAAATCCCAAGAAGTTCATCAGAAGAAGGTTCCCAGCTAATAAGAATCGAAACTGGCAGGGAAGCTACAGTGCAGAGAAGGCGAAGGAGGAGCCGAAGAGTGTCTCTCAGTCCGAAGAACCAAAGAAGAAAGCAAAATTTAGTGGTGACTCATGGTTTAATTGTCACTACTGTGGAGGCAATGGTGTTGCTACAATATTCATGAGTACTTTGAAAATGGGGATTTTGAGTATTGGATAAACCCACACTTATAAAATTACTTCATCGATTTTATCACGAGAAATTATGAGACGATAATATATTATATTCTTGAAACGGGGATATATGAATTGTTGTTTACGAGTCAGTTGTGCATTGATAATATGTAAACATATCATTAACTTGATGCTATAAAACATATTGTTATGGATGATTTGATGAGTAAATAGTTCAAGGATATAAATCAAAGTTTATTCGTTCCTTTTGACCTAACAGGAAAAGCGATATCTTTGGGCCCCTCGGTGATTTGGTGTTGACTTATAAGTGTTAGGCCTAGCCAATACTAAATTGATGTGTTCAATTAGAAGTCTTATATTGTCATCACAAATCAGAAATCAGAAAACAAAAATTAGACAATGAGATTGATTGTAATCAATGTCTCATGTCCTTACGATATCTTGTAGAACGGGGGAATATTTGATTACTTATCTTAGGACACGTAACTGATTGGGCCAGAGTTCAACAACAGCTTTTGGAAGCTACAATTTGCTGGTTGATTCAGAAGTTATACTTGCAATTATAGCTATAAACTTATCCAAGTGGGAGACTATTGGATTAGGTGTCTAAACCCATAATTGTAATTAGTATAAACTTCAATTAATAGTAGCACAATCCTTTTGGGTTGTCCTCAAACCTAGCAATTGGATAGGATGACTTTTAGATAGAGAGATTAATTTGGTATGTGATTAACAAATTGAAATAAATTATTTATTCATGTATTGTGAAAATAACATATTAATCAGAATTCATATTATTTAATTAATAATTAATCATAAATTAATTAGAATTAATTAGATTAATTAAAAGTGTAGAGGTTGTTTGGTTATTTATTAAAAGTTGAAGAAAGAAAGCCCATTAACCTCATAAGATGAGGTAGACAAAAATCACTTGGTCAAACCCAAGAGTTTTCGTTCAAGCCTCTTGGATAATGGGAATAGGTTGCTTGGTCACCAAACAAAGGATCTATAGCATATCCATTAACCCTAGCTTTAGCACCAAGTTTCCTCAACTATATAAGGAATCCCTAGCCCCTTAATTTCATCCATGCCTTTCTTCCAAGAGCCTTGGATGAAATCTTGGTTCTCTTCTCCTCTCTCTATGGTTTTCCTCTTGCTAATTTGGATGTGATTTCATTAAAGGCACAACATTTGTGTTGCTTGCTTCCAAGAGAGCAACAAAGGATAATTCTTGTTGTTTGCTATAACAACTAAAAGGTATATAACCTTAATCCTTTTCTTTAGTATTTTGGAAAATTAACTAGGGTTTTTAGGGTTTCTTTTTAATGTTCTTATTTATGGTTCAATAGAGAAAACATAGATCTTTATTAGGATTGCATACACACTTAAGAGTTTAAGTTTATTAGTTTTGCATAAAATCCATCATAAACGACTTGTGTTAGTTGCAATGCAATATTGTTGAAATCGTCGGTAATTTAAAGAAAATCTTCCATCCCAGTTATATTGTCATTGTTTTGTCGTTATAGGGTTGGTTGTTGTTTTGTCATTAATTTGCAACAAATTATTAGCTGTTTGATTCCTTTAAACTTTGGTTTCATAGTCGGTAAAAGGTAAATTGTATCGGATTTTGTGACACAAAAAGTTTTGTCGCGATTTGGAAAAGTCATGCGCTAGTGCTCTTGCTAAAGGTGTGTATACATTTTTTTATAAAAACAAATTTATATATATTTATATACTAAATAAATACATATTTTTATAACTAGATATTTCATATACAAAAAACTTTTTAAAAAAAGTTTTATATAGAAAATATAAGATTTTTATGTGAAAATACATTTTTTTTGGTATAAATATGATTTTATAAAGAAAAAACATATTAGAAACAATTTTTTGAAAAAAAAAGTTGCAAAAAAACTAAAATTAGGATGAATTCATAATAAAATTCTAAAATTTGGGCAAAAAAGGTAAAGTTTTGACCAAATTTGTAAAAAAAAATTAAAATCCGGGCCAAAAGTGTAAATTTTGGATCAAATTTGTAATAAATTTTGAAATCTGGACCAAAAATGTAATTTTTGAAAGTTGAATGACCTGTTGACCGGGTCAAAGGATTAAATTGAATACGATTACCGGTATTTGGGACTTAATTGAATAAAAAAAAATATATAGGAACTAAATCGATTATGAGGCCAATATGTAGGGATTTTATTGTAGTTTTCCTTTTTTTATTACTAAGTTGATTCACACAAGAATTAACATGTTCCACCGTATGTGGAAGACTGTTTTGTGGTAGTTTTTCATCTTCATAATAATTCTATCATGGCCGAATGAAAAACAATAGAACAGAAAATAATTTTTGTATAATGTTGTTTAGCAACACGATAAAAGGGTTAAGGAAAATTGAATAAACTAATCATTTAAGTGAATTTTAATATATATATATATATATATATATATATATATATATATATATATATATATATATATATATATATATATATATATATATATATAATATATAATTTTTGAAAAATGATCACTTACTCTGAATTCTCATTCTAGATTTGATATTTAAATTTTGGAGTTCTTTTATGGCTTTTTTTCCCAAAGAAATCTCTCTACTTATTTTCCAAAATGTCCAAAATGTTAATTTCAAAGTTTTTAATGTCATTGTTTTTTAATTAAATGTCTGATTTTATGTCTTAATATTGTATATAGCTCATATTTATTATGTTTGTTGAACATTTGTTAAATTTAAGTTCAAATGATTTTTTTTCCCGAAATTCAAGATTGTTCATCGGATTTCGGACTTATTCTTGAAATTCGAGAGCTTTTTTTGTCGACCTCCGAAATTTCAATCTGGAATCCAAAATGTTGGTCCAAAATTCCAGATTATCGGTCTAAAATATATTTATTGTCAGAAAAATAATTTTTTCTTAGTTTCCCATTCTAGACAAAATGGTTATTTTTGCAAAAAACAATTTTTTTTTATCGTTTTTAAGTAAACATTAAATTGGGGTTAAATTACTCAATTTTCCTAAAATAATGTTGCGTTTGTTGTACATCATGGATTGTAGTTAATAAATATTATTATATTGGTTTTTTTCACTTGGATATGTAAACAAGTTTTTCTTATTAATTACGTATTCATATTTTTCTCACAATCGTCCAACTCATACTTTTTTCGTCCAGCCTAAAATGATTGATAAAAATATGGGATAACTAGATGATAAAAAGGACAATTTGATAAAACATAAAAATATGGGATAACTAGATGATAAAAAGGACAATTTGATAAAACAAACTTGTACATGTTAACCATAAGTGATTATTTAAGTTAGTTTGATTATGAATAATAATTATATAATTGGTGATTATTAAATATAAAGTATATGACCAATAATGTATTCAACTTATAGTTAAATAATACATGAAATAGAATAATATCTTCCTCAATTCTATGTTAAATTGGCGGATTATAGACTTTATTTATAGCCATGTTGTCTATGTCTATATATAGTGCCACCATTCTTGTTTCCTTCACTCACTACAAACACAAGATGAAGTTGAAGCTTCTAATTCCAACTCTCTTATCCACTCTCATCTCTTCCTTTTATATAACTTCCCCCCAACCCCTTGAAACTACCACAACCATCACCGCTGGCATCGACGCCATCACCGATACATCTATCCCCTTCGACTCTGATGGTCATGAGGTCCAACCAGGGTTAAAGTACCATATAACCCCAATCCAATCAAACGATAGTAGCGGTGGTGGCCTCTCTCTTGCTTCACGAGATGGTATTTGTCCTCCCTTTGTTGTTCAAGAAAACACCCAACTCTCAAACGGTCTCCCTCTTAGATTTGTACCACTTGACACAAAACAAAATTCCATAACCTTGTCGAGTGATCTCAACATTTTGTTTAATGCTGCAACAATATGTGTTCAGTCCACCGTATGGAGGGTGATCAGTGGTGGCGGTTTTGGTGGTGGAAAGTACTACGTGAGGAGTGGCGGCGTGGTGGGTCGGCCAGGGGTGGCTACCGTAAGTAATTGGTTTAGGATCGAGAGGGTTGGGGATATTGGATATAAAATAGTGTTTTGTCCAAGTGTTTGTAGTGGTAGTTGTAAAGTTGTGTGTGGAGATGTGGGGATTTTAGAGGAAAATGGAAAGAAATGGCTCGCCCTTGGTGACAAACCACTTGTCTTTATGTTTCAGAAGGCTTAATGCTCATATTTGGTATTATAGAATTAATATTCAATACGTACCCAATATTTAAGAAATAAATATTTATAACTTTCTAGCATTAAAGTTGCATGTCTCTTATTGTCAAATTTTGTTATATGTGTAAGAGTAGTGTATCTCCTAGTCAAAAATTTTGGTGACAAACCACTTGTCTTTATGTTTCAAAAGGCTTAATGCTCATATTTGGTATTAGAGAATTAATATTCAATACGATATCTAATACTTATGAAATAAATATTTATAACTTTTTAGCATTAAAGTTGCATGTCTCTTATCAATGAATGCCAAATTTTGTTATATGTGTAATAGTAGTGTATCTCCTAGTCAAAAATTTTGGATTCGTATTGAAAAATACAAGTATAGAAGGTGGATGGATTGTCTTTGACTTTCTGTCGTTATTGGAGGATATAAATGTGGAAGTCCCAATTGCAATAGGTTAAAGAGTTTGGTCACATAGGAATATCATCATCCAAATGACAAAATTCATATATCATTTATATATTAATAAGAATTATATTAGCTTTGTTAACTAGAATCATACATGATATCAATCGTTTATATATTAATAAACATATATTAGCTTTGATGTGACTTTTTAACTAGTTATATGAGTACTAGTTTTATTTTCTCATTAAATAAGTTCTTCTGTCAATTATCAAAGCAGAGGGTTAGATAATTACTTTGATAATAGCTAATTGATTATAAAAAAAAAAATTAGTCGTTTAATAAAACAAATATTGATCACCAAAAGGTAACTCGTTTGTTTATGAGTTTTAGCAAAGAAAAAAATGGAAAAAATATTATATTTTCGTGCTCTAGAGTTTGAAAGAAATGAAATAGAAATAAACATTTTATGTGTTTCCTAGTTGAAAGGAATAGAAAATAAAAAATCTTATTTTCCTTTATTCCAAATCCTTTTGGAAGAAAAGTTAGGATAAAAGACCATCCTTCAAAATTTCAGGAACATCAAAATTTGTTCCCTTCTAATTTCATCAACTTCCCACTTTAAGTGGAACTTGGGAACTAAGAAGAAATAAAAAAAAAATGTTTATGTTCCTCGATTTTTTTAATAAAATGAATTAGAAAGAACAGAAAAATAAAAGAAATGATAACCTTTCTTCCTAGCTTTTCTAACAATTTGGAAGGATTTTAAGAGAAAAAAAAAATCTTGGAAATAAAACTTGAATTTAATTTGTTTTCTTTTTTCATTCAACTAGATAACTCATAAAATATTTATTTCCTTTTCATTTCTTTCAAATTCGTAAATATGAAAATCTCTCTCTCTCTCTCTCTCTCTCTCTCTCTCTCTCTCTCTCTCTCTCTCTCTCTCTCTCTCTCTCTCTCTCTCTCTCTCTCTCTCTCTCTCTCTCTCTCTCTCTCTCTCTCTCTCACACAAAATGTTAATACTCAATACAAAAGATTTTTGTTTCCATTTCACAATATGTGGCTCATTTTTCTTATTTTATTTCTAAATAAATATTAGAATTTGACAAATACTCATATTCATGGTCGGCCCAGTAATAATTTAGGGTCGCGGTCAAAACATGTAAAAGACCTCTCAATATTAAAACTTATGGTAAAAGTTATCATAAAAATTTGGACAAAGTTTACGGTGAGCGAGTTAAATACACAAACACAACCACTTAAACATTTTATGTTATAAAGGGTGAGCTCGGTAATGAAACATAATTGATATCGAACCAAAAGTACTGAACAAAATGGTACAAAATTAAGAACCGAATAAAGAATTGAACTATAAGGTATGGTATTAGTTCGATTAGGGAAAATATGTTTAGTTTGAACTTAAAAGTGGAAAAAATATTGAAACCGGTACCAAACCAAATGTACCGAAACCAAAATGACATAAAAATAAAAACTAAATACAAAATATCAAACAAAGTATAGTGTGGTTTATGGTTCGGTACCATCGGTATTTTTGGTCACCCATAGTTATAAAAACCAATTATAGCTTTCGTGTATGAGTTTCCAAAAAAATATGTTAAAAGTATTGAGACATATGTTTGTAGAATAAGAAGTGAGTACTCATACAAAGCTAGAAGAAACTTTCATTTCTTATGCATAAAATGTTTTTTGTATCCTTGTTAATTTTTTCATTTAATTTAAAAAAAAAAAAAAAAGATTATTTCCTATTAGTTGGAAACAAATGATTACTACTGTTAAACTACCAAAACTTTGTTTATAAAGTACGGAAATCTTATATATTTCTCTGTAAGTATGTAAAATCAATGCTAAATGGTTTTGAAACCCATGTCCATATATGGAGATCAAACATTATCGTTATTACAACTTTACAAAAATATTTCAATATTTTTCTTCGAAGAGATATTTAGAAAAAAAAAAAAAAAAAAAAAAAAGGTTTCGAGCAAAATCCCCTTAATTGAAAGTAAAACTTCTTTACCAACTCTTTAACAATTATTTTGTTCATTGTTTCAAATAAAAGTTTTTATATATACTAGGTGTAACACCCATATAAATATAAAAAAATTAAATAATATGTATTTTTTAAAATGAAATTTTGAAATAAAGAATAAAAAAACATATTAATTACAATTTATTATCATATATGTTATATTTAATACTTTACATATCTTTACTATCTTATAAAAGAAATCTCACTATTTCTAAAAATAGATTGAATATAATAATATTATTTTTTTAAAACGTTCAAATCATTAAGCTAATAGTACAAGTAGTCATCAATAAAATAATATTAAATTTTAACATGTGTTTTGAATCCTTATATTTCTCAACAAATTCTATCTCCTTCCCTGAATTTCGGATAATTCAAAATTTGAAACCATCAGAAAATACATGTTGATTCAAATATCCCTTCTGCAGATGACTCTTTCTTAAAATGTTTTTATTTTAATCCTTACTTGTAATTGATTTCATTATTTTTAACTTTTTGTATTTTTATCTTATAAATATATTAGATAAAGGCTTTATTATATCAGGTTTGTTCTTAAAAAGGTTTTTACTATGTTTCTTTAATGTGTTGGCTTTGCAGGTTCAAAGAACTTAACTAAGAGGGCCAGTTAGAGCATTGTATTATCATTAGTTTGTATATTTTGACATCTTATTTTTGTAATAAAGAACGGTTAAACACAAGATTTGACATGATTAAGGTAGTTTGTATATTTTTCATCTTGTTTAGGCTAAAAATGAAACCTTTTTCATCATTGGTCCTTATAATATCAAGTTTCATTACGTGGACTTCCTGATTACAGTTATTATTGCCCTTATTATAAGGTTCTATATAGATTTTGTTCAATATTTTAAGCTTTCGAGAACCTAAATCAATATGAATCCTTGAATTACATAACATCGTTGAAAATGTTTTAATTTGTGACCAAACTTGGTTTAAAATCACAATGAACAAGTTGACACCTGAGTATTTTTGCCTTCTCAAAGGCCTATTTTTGAATCACAACACCTGATATTCTAAAAGTTTATTTTATAAACTATTATTTATATATTTTAACATTTTACTTAGTAGGACATTAAATTAATAAAGGAATTAAGGAAAACGAAAAAAAAAAAAAAAAAAAAAAGAGGACGATAAACAATACAAGTGGTTTGGGTATGTATAAATGGAAGTAATAACCATTTAGGGGGTGTCTGGCAAAAAAGCTTATTGCTTATTAGTTTATTAGTTTATAAGTTAATAAGTAAGTGTATGGTAACTTATGAAAAAATGACGTATTAGAGGTTCCTCACCGGAATAAGTTATTTTAATCCAAACACTTTTTTAACCTATAGTGATGTGAAACCTAATAAGTTGTTTTAAAAAAGCTTAGCCAAACATCCCCCTTAATATGGTATAGTAATGCTCTTGAAAAATAGATGTCATTTAATATTCATTTCTCGAAGTGAACGCAAAATGGTTTTAACTCTAAAGAGATCAAATTATTCGTCGCCCGCCGCTTTGCGCGGGTAGACGGCTAGTATAAGTAAAAGTATTATGTGATTTTTTAATTTTAAAAATTAAAAAAAAAAAATTATAAATTAGCATATGGATATTATTTATTTAAAAAATATCATAAATTTTCAAATGTCAAAAAATCAGATAAATGTTAAAATTATTTTAATTTTATTTATAAGGGAAATGATCATAAATGACATATTTGAGTTATGGGCCGGTAGCCATTATCCGACTTACCTTACCCATTGGCACAGCCCAACTTGCCCAGTAATTAAATATTTTTATTAAATTACCATTATATAAAAATAGAAAATGTTATTAATCTTTTTGAGACGGAATGGGAGAGAAATAGAATCATATAATAGCATAGCCGAAGTTCCCGCGGAAATCTGCGGCATATCACATTTTATGGCTCATCGTTCCCCCACCGGCCACCGGCGATTGCGAAAGCCTTCATCTCTCCCTTCTTGCATTTCATTCATCTTTTCTTTTCTAGACTCAATTTCCCAGTTGGATAAATCTTAAAATATCGGTACGTACGTATGAATTTCCTTTTAAAATTTCGGTCATCTCGATTTCTTTTTTTCTTTCAAACCCTATGTTTTGTTATTAACAATCGTCATCCGAGTTGGTTTAGGGTTATCGTATCTTTTTAATATCCGTTTGTTATGATTCTACGGGGAAGTTGTTCTCATGATTGAAAAATGATATATTTCATTTGGTCAAAATCAAATTGTTTGATGGAATGCTACAAAAGAAGCATCTTGTTCCCAAATTTGAGTTCTTAAGATTGTGTTTGTACTTTGTATTGAATCATTCGGATTTACCATTTATTGTCAACGTGAACCATCTAAGTCCTTTTTAGAATACGTGTAATTGTTTCAACATCTGAAAATTGCAGGTTCAAATGGCTGCTAATGAACCAAAGACTGTTCCTCCTGATACTGCACCTAAGTCAACCGCCAATATTTCAGAAGTGAGAACTAAACTTGCTTGTTATTTGATTTCCATCTAATCAAGTGATTGTTAATTCCCTTGAGCATATGAAAATTGCAGGCTCCTACAGCTGCTTCTGAACCAAAGACTCAGAAGGATGTTTCTCCTAAGACTGAAGCACCCAAGTCAGAAGTGAGAACCTAACTTACTTCAACTATTTTAGTTTGCAAAAAAAAAAAAAAAAAAAAAAAAAGTGTTCTACTTTTACCATTTAAATTGTTTTGAGAATTCAATAAATGACAGATTAAACATCTTAAAATTTCAGGCTCCCAAGGCTGGTACTGAACCAAAGACTGAAACAGATGCTCCTCCGGCCAATACACCCAAAGTTTCACAAGTGAAAACCGAGCTTGAAAAAACATCTGTTTTTTAGTTTAGAATTTAGATATCGTTTTTCCTAATTATTCCATGATTGACTCGCAAATCTTATATAACAGATAAAAACGGTGAAAGTGAGTAATATCTCAGTCGCTGTCACCAAAAAAGACATCTGGGAGTTCTTCAACTTTTCCGGTGATATCCATTACATTGAAATGAAAAGGTAACATTTTATTCAAACTCCACTTTTTTTTATATATATTATATATATAGTCTTATTATGACTTCAAATGGTTCAGTGAAAGTGAAACCACACAACAGGCGTTTGTTACTTTCAAGGAATCACAGGGAGCAGACACAGCAGTTCTGTTGACTGTATGTAAATTTATATCATCGTAATTATTAGTTAATAAAAAATATATATATTTTTTGAAAAGATAATATTTTAAAGGGAGCCACAATCGCGGATCTATCGGTGTCAGTAAGCTTAATGGAGAATTACCAGCTGCCACCAGATGCTCCACCTACAGATACAGATAAGAAAGGCGAGGTTGTACAAAAGGCTGAAGAGGTTGTAAGCACGATGCTTGCCAAGGGTTATGTTTTAGGAAAAGACGCACTAAAAAAAGCTCAGTCGTTTGACGAGAAACATCAATTCACATCCAACGCCTCTGCTAAAGTTGCTGACCTTGACCGAAAAATGGGTCTAAGTCAAAAATTAAAAGAAGTAAACGAGCGTTACCAAGTGAGTGAAAAAACACAATCAGCCATTGCTGTAGCTGAACAAAAAGCCAACACTCTCATGGCCAACCCTTACGTGTCAAGTGGGGCCGTTTGGTTTTCTGGTGCTTTTGCTGCGATTACAAAGGCCGCTGAAGGTGTGGGGAACAAGACTAAAGAGAAGGTTGACAAAGAGGAAAAGGAGAGGTCAAACTCAAACTCAAACATAAACACAGTTAACAATAATGAAAAGCAGACCTCAAACTCAAACTCAACCACAGTTAACAATAGTGATGAATCTTTGGTCAAAGGGTCTCCTGTTAACTCAAAGACAGTTAACAGTGGTGATAAATCTTCAGTTGTCAAAGATAAATCGTCCAGTGAAAAGAACAAGCTTCCAGAACTTTGAAATGTTATTCTACTCAATCTATACAGATTGCATATGACATATCAGTATCAGTATGTAATATGTTTACAACATGAGGTAATATTAATATCTATACTGTAAGTGTGAAAAAAATGGATAGTTTTTGACTTTTTAACTATATTAACGTAATGTACTAATGTGCTTTTGGGAAGCTTGTTCCACTTATTTAAAACCAATACCTTTGTCTTTGTGCTACTTTCAAAACTGGGATAACTTTTATGGATATGCATGTTGTGTTATTCCTGTATTAGCATATGTACTTAACCAACCACTCCAGACACTGCCAAAGTAAAAGTCAAAATTTGAAAATTTTAAGTTGTGTTTGGATGGAAACAATATTATATAATAATAAAGGGCAAATTGTAGGAAATAGCAATGTAATTCACTCTTTTTACCAATATAGACAATGTACTTCAATTTTTTTTACCTATAAGAGCAATATAGGTAAAAGATATAAATCTGCTGCCTATATTTGTAAATGGAGAAAAGTACATTGCTTTTCATTGTAAGTTGCTATATAATAAAATGGTTTATGGTGTATTTACCTTTATGCAGTCGGGTAGATCAGTATCATTTGATCCATTGTGAATCTGAAAATGAAAATCCAGAAAGTTGGATTAATGGATGAAAGTAATTAAGGTAAACATGAAATAAGTTTTATAAGTTATACCCATGCAATTTGTTGGTGAGATGAATGTTGGTTGTTTGCTAGACATGCTATGATGACTAAACTGGCTGCAACAGTTGAGGGCCAGAAGCATAACTGTTCATGGCCCAGGAGTGTGAGGACTGCAAGATACTTGGCAGTTTTATCAATATCTTGATTGGCTCTTGCAGCTTTGAGATAGTACCTTTCATATGGAGGTGAATGAGAATTAAGAAGAAATAGTAAGATTTTGTAGATATATAGTTTTTTGATGGATTGATTTGAGAGAATATTGTTTACCATAAGAAATTGTAGATGGTTGGTAAAAAGCATTGGAAGTTGAGGACTTCTTGCACCAGCCATTCCATGGCAACCACTTCGGATCTGCTGTATTCATTGCTTCCTATGTTGAATGACTTTTGTCGAATGCTGCAATGATCAAATTACAGTAATTTTTGTTATTAACTGATTATGAAAGAGGAGAAGGATTAAAAGGATTTTGGACCTGTTGGAGGGCTGGTTTTCTTCAATTCTTGTTGCAAGGGTGAGACAAGCAATGCCAACAATTTGAAGCTCCCTTTCATTTTTGAAGTATCCTTTGCTAAGAAACCGGTCCAAAAGGCTGACACCTAGGAACATGGTTTCCTTTTGGAATTCCTTGTTAGCTGATTGCTGCTCAAAAGTAAGAGATATTAGTTAAAAATAGGAAAAGAATAGGAAGTAGTTGAGTGTGCAAGTGCAATGAGAACAAATTTCTAAGAGTAAGTAATATGCATCATAAAGCAGTTCAAACAGAAACAGACCTCAATTATCCAATGCACCATCTGCAACCTTTGCTGGAGAACCAAATGTCCATGTTCCTTAGTCCCACAGTATTCCTCTGCATAGTCATGAAGATATACCTGCCTCCTCTCTCTTTGCCTCATCATCTGGTAGCTTTCTTCATGTTCTTCGTCTTCAGGTCTCAACAATTTCTGACAATGATAAATCAAACGACATTATGTCTTCCACTGTAAAAGTAAATGATCCGATTAAACAACTTTCAAACCACATGGTACATCTCATTGGAGCAATATAATTATTATGAGAAAGCAGCAATATATGTACTAACAATTAACTAATAATACTATAAATAAAAGTAAGTTTATCACTAAAGAATACAACATCTGAACCGCAATATAAATATCCAAATAACACCAAACGTATGTAGTAATTAAAGGAGAAAGTAGCAACGTGGATATACAAAAAAATTAGGCAACCAAATCGAAGCAGAGGCATAATTAACTTACAATAGTTGTATTAGGAAGTTCGTTATTGCCTGTTGAAGCGACTTTTGCAGAAACCTCAGATTTGCAGAATTTTTGACGGTAGAAGAGGAACAATTGGAACGTTGGTGACGGAGTTGTATCCCCAAATGATCGTTCAGAAAATTGACTACCGGACATGTCCCATGTCGAAGGAGTGTAGTCAGATGAAAATTCTATCTCAGAACTCCCCATATTAGCATCCGTACACTCAGCAGACGAGTGATCAAACTCATCATCTTCGCAGGACAAACTTTCTGAACATGTCAAATCAAAGTCTGCTGAAATCAGCTTTGACTCTCCACAATTCTCCGCTTGAGGATCGTTGACTGTCTTACTTGTGTCTGATTTACTGATGTATGAAGTGATATTTGCGGATGCTGGATCAGGTTGAGATTTTGGACGAGAAGCAACTGAAACGGCGTAGTCCTTTGCCTCTGAATAAGCTGATTGACCTTCGTTGATCGTAGTGTCTGATAGTTTGAAACGCGAATTCATTCCGAATTTTTCTCGAGGAGATGCTAGTCGAGAGGAAACTGATGCATCAATTTCTTCGTTTCCTTGCAGCTCATCTCTTCGATCTGTCAACTCTACAGGAAAATTTGAACACTCGGATCGCGTTGTGACCTCTGAATTCTCGATTCCACAGACAGTAATCGAAACGTCATCATCGTTCTCTGCTTTTACATCTTTCAAAACTTCAGGTTCTCTCCGAATTGTGCTCTTCGACCTCGAGTCAAGCATCTCCACGCACGAAGACGACTCCGACACTTCAACTTCCTTCTCAGCCATAATCTCCATCCGCTTACTATACGACCTCGTAATCCTCCGAAATTCGCTAGCGACGGCGGCATTTCCATCGGCAAAACTTCTCTTCTTCACCGATTTGTTGTTCGTCGATACTACGCTCGAGGAATCACACGCAAATCCAACATCTCGTGTCAAATTCGAAGAAGAATCAATGATCGAACTATAATTGAACTTTAGAGCAGGAGAAGATCTAAGAATAGGAGAAAATTTAGAACGTTTCCGGCGAGGTAGCTTTGATCTGAACTTCTTCATCGCGAACACTACTAAGCTTGTACTATTGAATCGAGCTGTTGTAATTCAACTTCCAGATTTAAACTTCATGAACATGACTTCATTGAAGTGTTTCTTCACAAAATGTGTGTGAGATGAAAGCGGTTAAGGACGTTGGCTATGGAGATTTTGTGGGGTAGAGAGGGAGACGAGGGGGAGGGTGTGTGCATGCGGTGAAGAAAGGTGGGTGGTTTTTACCATAAAAGTGTCGTGGGCCCCACTCAGCATTACAATTTTCACGCTAAACGACTTTCAGTCTTGCACACACTGCTGTAGTGCTATTTGTCGTTCGAGTAAATGACCTAAATCAACCTTTTTGTGTGTAAAAATAAAACGATTTTGATTTTTTTTTCTTGAAAATTAGATGAATTATACATGTTATTTCGGATGAAATTAGATGAAAATGGAACTAATAAGATTGTAAGACGTAAATATTGCATTAATATGTAAATATACACTTAACAACATAATAACTCAATGATTGTCTATGCATTTCTCGAGTTTATTTTAAAAAAAAACACAAACACTTTAAGGGATAATGACTTAAAAAGGTAAGTTATTTTTGGATTTGTATATATTTAGTCACTGAATTATTTTTTTGTTCATATTTTTCCATTGAACTTCTTAAACTGTTTAAAAAACATCCTTATGACCTACTATCAGAGGTTTAGCCGGTTTCCGGCGTATTTGATACCTTCGGCGATGCTCTGGCCATCTTCTCCGGCGAGGCTCCGACGAACTCAAAAACTTCAGTCTATTATGTCATTCTCCTTCTCTTTCTTTCTTCTTTTTTCTCATCAACTGGGTTACATACATCAGATTTGTGATAAATGACAAGAAAAACTTCTCTTTTGTGTGTGCTCTGATAAGAAAGAAATAGGAACCAAACAAGAAGGGTACTCCCCTTCTATTCCAAACTCGAGTTCCAAGCATCTGAGCAACAAAAGGAATTGGTCGTAGGCTCCTTCTTTTTCTTGTTCTCACTGCAATTGACACCCACCCTCTTCAATTTGATTGCAACCTCCTTCTCTCCCATTGTGCTGGTTTAAAGGATAATGCATCGACGAGCTTGTACATTATGATGCATAGTTTGTCTTTTGCTTACTTTCAACCATCAGAGAAAAACGAAGGGGAATCATCTGAAGTGAAGGAATCATCAATGAAGTTTGATCGGAGGTTGTTGGAAATAGCTTGAGACGGGATCTGGGTTTGTAAAGGTGAAGGTCTCGGTTTTAATGGTGGCTTGGAGGTTGAAAATGATGAACAGTAAACAATTTTAATGGTAACTTGGGTTGCTTTGGAGAAATAAATCCAGCTAGAAAACGTAACTGATTTGTTAATAGAGAGATGAGGGGGGCGGAAGAAGGGATTGGTGGTGGTAGTGGTTGATGAGAACGACGATCAAGAAGCGAGGTATGTGTGTTTGTGTATTTTATTTTGGAAATCGAAATCTAGTGTGTTGTGTGTGTTCTTGAGTTAATAATCAAAACATTACTTGTGTGTTACAACTTGCCAGAAAAATCATATTGGTCGGAGACTTGCCAGAGAAGATGACCGGAGTCTCGTCGAAAATGCAAAAACCGTCGGAAACCGGTTAAACCCACACCAACGAGTCATAAGGGTAAGATATGGACAACAAAACAAGTTTAATGGGAAAATGTTGACAAAAAAAAATTCAATGACTAAATATGTACAAAACGAAAAATACATTAACCTTTTAAGTCATTATCCCTAAATTTAATGAATTCCGCGATCATTATGCCATATGGCTTGAAATGGAAACACCTTTGTGATAGAGTTATTGACATATTGTTTATAAATTCATAAAAGTTCATGTAGATAACTAATTGTGAATTTTTTGTCTAATAATCTATATATCATTATCATTTCATTTTATGATAAATCTTTTAATGAAATTCATCTACTTAGTTGATTGGTTCAAAATAAACCAACATCTTAAACCATATTCATTTGAAACTTTCAAGCCTCTTCAAATTTCAAATAATTAAATACACATTAATTTACTTTAATACGAAAATTCTTTAAGTTTTAACTATTTAATCACTACACCTCAATAGTTTTTAACTTGTATTAGTGATTGGTAATTATAACACCTACAACTCAATAGCTTTTTTTAATTTATGGTAGTTAATTGTTACTTATAACACCCAAAAAATTAATATAAGAGTTATATATAATGCACATATTTAGATTAGATTCTAGCTTGGAGAATAAGATGGAAAACCAACAAAGTAACGAACAAAAAGGATGTTGGACATAATTACTGCAATTTAGTGTTTTGATCATATCCGATTACTCGATGTTTTAATTGACATTAATCAAGTTGTGGTGGTAAGAAGACAAGATTATTTATAACTTTCATGTCTTTTGGTTTTCATGAATTATGTTTTTATTGTAGCGAAAATCAATGTTGAAGGTGAACTGCAATAGTTATAGAATCTGAAATTAACAATGGAGAATCTCATATCTTTTCAAGCTACATTTAAACCTCATGAAATCCTTTACTCTATGAAAAAAAACATATATCTCACATTGGCATGCAACATAACCTGAAATTTCAACATAAAAGAAAGAAAAATCGTTGTCATGTAAAATTTATACGAATCACAAATGTAAAGGCCAAAGTCAAGGTTCCATGATGATCTCTTCAGTGGCTATGTGTTAAATTTATTACTTTCTGATGAATTTAAAAGATTATATACTTGTTTTTTAAAACCCATATCGACACAAAAACAACACCAGGATAAGGTTTATTTTTACCTTCTAATGGAAGCTTGGATCTCATGATGTATTATTATGCTAGTTGGCTTAGTTGCCCCACCATCAAGCGATCATGCACGATTTATTTTCATTAGCCTTGGTTGTACACCAATCTCATGGAGAACAAAGAGACAAAGTGTGGTTTCTCGATTCTTTGTTGAAGTTGAGTACATAGCAATGAGAAGTACAATGTAAAGAGTATTATGGTTAAGATGGTTAAAATCTATAATGATGTTAAAGTTGTTGGATCAAGATGTCTAAGCTCATAACTAAATTGGTATAAACTTGTAAATAGAAGCAAAGTCCTTTGGGTTGCCCCCATGTAACACTTGGAAATTTTGTAAGAGTCATACTTTATCCCTAATCGAAAAAGTTTGCAAGAATGATCCTTAAGGCAAGTACATGGGGCGTACAAGGTGGTACGCTTAGCGTACTAGCCTGATGATTAATCGTTCCTTCGGACACGTACACGGGGCGTACGTTGGTGTATGCGGGGTGTGCGTGTGGATTAGTGAAACCCTAAATTTAGGATGTTGCACCATATAGAATCCATGTGATAGCCTCTTTTGGACATGTTTTATTAGCCTCCTTACCCTTGAAAACCCTAATTCGTCCATTTGATTTGTGTGGTGCTATTGAGCCTTGGTTTTGATCCTTGGTGGGTTTTGTGCTCTTTGAAGTGATAGAAGACAATATTGGAAAACTCTTTCCTTGGAGAGGAGCTTGGAGATCCAAAATTAGCTCCATCTTTTGGAGACTTTTGAGGTATAAAGTCCATACACTGTCTACTCTTTGCTTTGATCTACTCTTTAGTTTGTTATGGTCCTTTTTGGTCCCTTTTGGTTAGTCTCAATGAGTTAAGGCCATTTTAGAATCAAAACCTTGTAGATCTGGACTTTTTGAGGGTTCCTTTGGCATAAAAATGCAAACTTTATGGTATTGGTGGTCTTATGCATGCATTAAGTCATTTGTTAAGTACTTTTCAGCTTTAAGAATTTCATTTAATCCATGCATGCACATAAAGTTGGCAACTTTACGTGATAAACCACCTTAAGGAAGTCAGATCTAAGTGTTTAAGTGAAGTCTTAACCATTTAAGAGCTGAATGAGGAAGTTGGCCAAACAGGGGGAGTATATCGGGCGTACAAGCTGGTACGTTGCGTGTACAAGCCCTAAAGCGAGTATGCTTAGCATACAAGCTGAGTACGCCCCACGTACTCAACACTGAGCTTCGATTTTGTGGGTTTCTCGGTAATTAATAAGAAATCAATTAGAATTAATTAATTATTAATCACAAATTAATTGTATTAATTGAATTAATTAAAATTTTAGGGACTAAAAGTGACAATGTTTAAAAGTTAAGCAAATGAAAGCTTCCAAAACCTCCCTAGAAGGGACGGTTTTGTGGGAGATCACTAGGGCTTCTAGAAAGCCTTGGAGGGTAAGGAAAAGGTAAAAGGAAACCGCTTTATTTGAGATATTATTATAATATTCAAATTAAGGTTACCTTAGGATATTTATTAAGATTCTATCTGGTTTTGGTGTTAGTGGATTCGTAGGTGCAAGCAATGTAGAAAAGGGATCATATCTTAGTGTTACAGAGTTCTTCGATTCAGGTGAGTTTCCTTCACTGTGCTTGTGGGTCGAAGACACCAATGCCAACCCACTAGGTTATATATCATGGTATAGAGAATGTTGATATGTTGTAGAAATCCATTAGATCTGTGTCTTGGTCTATAAGACGTTGTTATGCAGTAGTGATCTGCATATATGTTTGTTAGTCTGCTGACTGGTTATATGATTATTTGTTTGTTATATGCATGTTATATGTTATGTATATGTCGACATAGTATGGTGGAGTTGAGTTTATACTGCTTTGTGTTGCCGATCAACAAACTCGGGCAATCCAACCGAAAGGTTGTGGGTTGGGGCATTCCAACGGGAAGGTTGTGGGCCAGGGGTAATCCAACGAGGATGTTGTGGACCCGAGGGTATTCTAGTCTGATGACTGATTTGACCCAACATGCATGATTGTATATGTTATATGCTGGTGTGGTGGTACTTTAGGGGAACCCACTAAGCTTTGGCTTACAGTTTCACTTTATTGTTTCATGTACTTATGATGATTGTGACAAGGCGAATACGTGATAGGGCACATCATCATGTATTTTGTGAGATTATGATTTTGGAATACTCTGATTT